TTAACCATTTAACAACATCCCTCTATGGTAAGCCACAACACCACATCTTTTCGAGTGGTTAACTGATACTATTCAAGTTAATTAACGTTTCGAACCTTAACAATTTGCAGCCTTTCGGTTATGAATGGTTGTCATTATCATTCGTTCTTTCAATCTCAATCATTTAGTAAGGTAGGTCATTCCATGATTCAGCCTTTGCAACCTTCCGGTCTTGAGGTCTTCTATTCTTTGACTCTTATTCTGATCTTCAACTCTTCGAAGTCTTCTTCATCCGAATCATGACCATTCGTACTCATTGTTCGAACTGTAACCATTCGAATTATTGTTCTTTCTCTCTTGAATGATTCGAATAAGTAGAAAATCCTAAGTCTATCTAGAAAATGAAATAAATTGGAGACTAAAAAATTTCTAACTTTTGTTATTATCAAAATCTAAATTACAAATGTTCCTAACACATACTAGCGACATAGCATAAAATGGATTAACCAATTCAAGGTGCACATAAATTGAACACAATCCTCCCCCACCCACCCACACACACACACCTCCAACAAGAAAGAACTTCTATTATGCAAAATAAAATCGACCATACCCTTGCACAAAACACCTTAACACCCAAAAAAAAAAAAACATGATAAAAAGGGAAAAATTAAAAATAAACCCACAAAATTGGGAGCATTATCCCCAAAACCACAACTCACTATGCACAAAACATCGATATTAATGAACAACTAGGACTTTGACGCCATAAAAGCATTACCATAATAGATTGAGACAATGATGGACAAAATAGCAGTACAATGAAACATGTAAACTCGCGAAACACTATGCGACATCCTACCACCCCAAACCCACACTTCACAACTGGAAACCAGTCGACTTCAAAGACATTGGAGCTGTAAAGGTATTCCTGATTAGGGTACCCAACCACAGTTTCAAACCTGCACCCCGATGTCCAAGTGTCCAACCATTACAAGAATAAATAGTAATAATAATAACAATAACAATAACAATAATAATAAACCTCAACCCACACTAAAAGAAGATAAACCCAAAGAAAAAATATGAATACCTCGTATGTTCGTCATCAACCCACCGTTTACTATGCCTAATGGATCTCAATGTTGCACTATCATGCTTACTTCCTAATGGTCACGCTTTCGCCAACCTGTGACCTCAGCTCTGATACCAATTGGGTCACCCATCTTCTGACTGTTGTAAGTCAAACACGCTTAACCACAGAGTTCTTTGGCTATCTGATTGTCATATCATACTTAAAACCAATTGGTGATAAGTAGGTGAACATTAATTATTTAACCACATCCCTTCATGGTAAGCCAAATGCCAAAGTGTCACGTCTCGAATCGAGTAAGGGCTGAACTTGGCCAACCCGACCGACACCTAACAATCCCCTCCTAGCACATGTCACAACCTTTGACCACAAAGCTCAGCAGCATGCCTGACTCGGTCCTTATCCTCTGCACCTACTAATCCCCCTCTCGAGACTGGACTTGGGCCGAGCTACGTCCACATCCCATCCGAGACTAAACTCGGCTACCGCCTTGCCATCAATTTGAACATGTGACTTCAGCTTTGATACCAATTGATGGATCCCAGCGTTGCACTATGCTTACTTTACAATAGATCACCAATCCTATAAGTCAAGCATGCTTAACCACAGAGTTCTTTGGCTATCTGGTTGTCATATTCTACTTAAAACTAATTGGTGATAAGTATGTGAACATTAACCATTTAACCACATCTCTCCATGGTAAGCCAACGCAACGTCTCAAATCAAGCAGGGGTTGAACTCAGCCAACCTAGCCGACGCCCAACAACGCCTGTGCCCCCCCGCCCCCCATCCCAGTCTGCCACTCTGCCATGGAGTCGAAGAATTTGTTAGGGATCAACAACTTAAGAGAGATTTGAAAAAGGATCGTGTGTCTTAAATGCAAGAGGTTCCTAGTTGTTTTCTACTTAATTTTAAGTCGATTACTTATCTGGATTATAGACTGTATCAAACACAAAAAGAAAAAAAAAAAAAAGATAACAATATAAAAGATAAGTAAAGAAAAAGAGCCAGAGACATAACAATTGGTAATGCAGTTCGGAGCAAAATCTCCTACGTCTGCGGGGCAATTCACGTCAGCCCAATACACTAGATGATCACCAAAGGTTACAAGGGTTGGTAAGACATATCCATACACTCTATGGCCTTAGCCAATTACACCAACTCAATCTTCATCATCTACTTGAGTGAGTACGTGCAAGCCAAATAAATGCTCCAATCTTCAACATGGCATAATCACGTTTCTTGACAACCTCGTAGAGATCTTAGACGTCTTCAAATATGAGATATAATGAGTTGTAAAGCTTGGAATATTAATCACCAATTAGAGTACTTCTTCGTTGTATGATGAGCTTCAAAATGCCTCCTTTTATAGTTGAAAAAGGATAACCAAATAGACTAATAATGTGATGCATGAATTTATCAACTCAAGGTGCTCAATTTGATTTAAAAAAAAAAATGCTTGAAAACTAGTTCAAAGTACAAGAAAAGAGTTAGAGAAATTCGCCCCTTCCTTGACCACGTTCTGACTCAGGCACATAAACTTCTGATGTAGATTCAGACTGTAAAAGTGTAGCTTCTGAAGTAGATCCAGCCATCCAGGTTGTAATACAGAACCTAATATAGTCTAACAAAATAACCTAAATTTTAGCAAATAATTTAGCCAATAAAAATAAAGTAAAACGTGTATCATTTGTACACTTACAAGATTCTTGAAAATTTTTGGACTCCCCTCCCCCGCCCCGGCTTGGCAAAAACGTGCGTAAGTGGAAGGGAAAGTGTGAAACTTGCTTACTTACCAAAGAAATGACTAACTTGCTCACAACCATATAAAATGGAATGAAGTGGTTACTTTATTTCCGAAAATAATCCAATTCGAACTAAAAATCTTAGCCATCCATCCTCGAAATCCAATGTCTAATATTAGTCAATAATTTTTATATGAGAGAGTGCTCTTATATGAACGCAAATATATGAATTCTGATAATATATGTCTAGTTTTTCACATAAATTAGGGAGAACATGTTGTTAACATCTTCTTTTATATTCATGCTAAAAATATAGAATATAAGTTTACAAAATATCTCGTATCATTACTATCATGAAACTCAAGCACCTTATTTATGTCCTCTTAAATCACAACATTTTTTTTTTTATTGTCGACTTATATACAAATCTTATGGCATATTATTAATTTTGCAGAAAAATAAATCACTTATTTTTCAAAAAATATTTCAGAATTGTTTAAACAAAATGATGGCATACAAAACACAACTTATATTCTCAATATGCAAAAAGAAGAAAAAAGAATCGATGGACACGATTTTTTTATTCCGATGGTGGGGTACAATACTACAATATAACTAAAGCAGAAGTTTATAATCACTATTGTAAAAAAAAAAAAAAAAAATATTAATCACTAAAAAGTAAAAAAAAAAAATCACAAAAATTACATAATTAACTAAATATGATTTTTTTTTTTTATTTGTAACAATCAACGTATTGTAAAATTTCTCTATAATTAATATACGTATTAATGTATCTCAAATGTGTGATAATATTAATAAGAATAATACAAAATATTTATTATTGTTTATCAGAACCGGTAAAGGGGCCATGTCTAATATCCGGTGACTATGTGATTGTTGAGCGAAGGCCGATAAAGCATCTAAGGGTCAAGTCCAGCACTCAACCTGTCTCGAACAATGTGATGACGGTCTATAAATAAGAAAATAAGTTACATCTTGGCTACAAGCTATAAGTTTAGGCATGAGTGGTAAGTATTTGATCTTAACAATTATGAAAATTGCGTAATATATTATGTTAATTACAAGATAAAATGTAACTTTCACCAACATTTATTTTGATGGGGGCAGAATCAAATATATGCAGCGTGGTTCACAGTTTGTGTACTTTTGGTGCTTTCCCTTTAAGAAGCAAAAGTCGGAAAGTCACCGACCGTCGATTGAAAGTGAAAGATAAGTACAGTATTAGATTGAAGCATATCTGTTCACAAAAGTCAAAATGTTACTGCAATTTCTTCTGCACCTACAAACCATGATTGGTAATGATGAAAATTGCCATATTAATTATTATTCAATTCAAGTATTCAACTTCACTTCACTCCATATATTGTATGATACCAACACAATAAAAATGTCCAAATTAATAACTTAACATGGAAACATTCCATTAATCCTATCTTATTTTTAATAATATTATGTCAGGGTAAGGGTTGTCTCTACTTGTTGGTTGTGCTCACTTCTTGTCTTAAGTTATAATTGACGTTGTAATTTTTTTTTTCTAACAAAATATTAGGGACGAAATTTACAACGTTAGTTATAATTAAGGACGAAAAGTGAGTGACCTGTAAAAAAGATGAAATTTGCAATGTCAGTTATAAATAAGAGACAAGAAATGAACACAACCAACAAGTAAGGACGAATCGTAATAGTAGTAGTTCTATGAGGGTAAAATTATCCTACCAAGTGAGCAAAGAGAACTTTTTCCATGAAAAACAAAATATATCTTGATGGAGCAAAGAAAACTTTTTCTTTCCTTTGAAAAATAAATTTCATGAGAAAATAAATTTTTTCTCAAATTTTAAGAAATTGATTTCTTTGGAAGGGTTTTTATGTGTTCATTTTACATTTTTCTATCCCAAGCCAAATGGGATTAATCTCATATAATTCCAAAGAGGGAGTAGGATCATATTTCATGAATTCTAGTCTCGAGAGCAACTGACCGACTACAATTCAAGAATATCCCATGCCTAATATAAAAACATGTTTTTCCTAAAAAATTTAACCAAATGGGCCATTAGTTTAGCAAGAATTCCCAGTTTTGCTTTTACCCAGAATCTGATATGCTGCCAGATCAAGCAAGCATCAAAGAAAGCAGAAAAAGAAGAAAAAAAAAATCACAAAGAAGCTGACACCAATCCAAGACTTGAATTCAAATGTTAGATTCCTTCTGTTGGGACATATTTTTTTTTTCTCTTACATAATGAAGCAATTGCCCTAGTCCTAGCTGAAATCAAATCAGATAAGGAACCCTGACAAAGCAAAAGTGTCTGTACCAATGGAAAATTACATGGATGGATGGATTTCAATCCTCCTACTACACCTACCCCTATTTTTGTGTTAATTAAACAACATTTGAATGAGCAGCCAAGTTAAATAGCAATTTACCTTTCCATCTTCACTTCTTCGTGGAATGCCCAGTCTTCCGCTTGTGGCGACTGAAATCAGACACGAACCTAAACGTCTGGCCGCAGCCAGCCTCAGCACAAACATAAGGACGAGCACCGGTGTGAACTCTAATGTGTTCGGTTCGAGCCCATGCCCACTTGAATGTCATCTTGCACCCTTTCCATGGACATTTCAAGGGGCGGTCATCCATGTGGACACGACGATGTTGCACCAAGTACTTGTGGGAAAAGAACTTCTTCCCACACCCCTTTACTGGGCATATGTTCTTTTTGTGCATTACAAGTTCTTGCTTTGAGTCGAAACTCATCACACAACCTTCCAGGTCACATGGATATTCTCCTTCCTCATCCCGAGCCTTCACACTGTTGGCTGGACCCTTATTTGGAACGCCCTTTTTATGACCGTTATTACTAATTGGAGGATTCTTCACTGCTGGAGCTTTCTTTGGGTTGCTGCTATTACCAGCTGGAACCTTCATGACGGGGCCGCCACCGCCACTGCCTTTCTTTGCCTTCTTATTCTCCTGTTGCTTTGGATTCTTAGGCTCGGGCTTCTTTAACGCTGATTTTGCTTTGATTGGTTTAGTTTCCAACTGTTGTTTAGCTGGTTTAGTTTCCAACTGTTGTTTAGCTGGTTTCGGGGCTCTTCTTCTCAGCCGTGTGCTAGGCCCACCTTCTACCTCATCTTCGGAAACAAAGTCGACTCCTCCTTTGTTCTTCTTGTCACTGTCCTTTTGAGGTTCATCTGCTGCCTCTCGCTTAATTCGCTTGTTTCTAAGATTAGTTTTCGGTTTCTGTTGAGAGAAACCAACAGATGAAGTTTCATCGGGATCATCATCAGTCTTGATAGATTTGGAGTTTGCGGGAGGCCTACTTTCTGTTACAGACTTCCGCTTTTTTCCAGTCCTGCAAACTGGAGTGGCTGTTTCAGTAGTCTGGTTACACTCCAAAGACCTCATAGGCGGCTTTCCATCGGGATTGAACCGAGCAGCAGAAGCATTTCTTCGTATCTCTGGTTCATCAGAAACCCTCTCGGCAAGAAGAGAATGAACCTGGTTAGACATCCAGACTCTCCCGCACCATTTTCCAGCAACAACTATTCTCTTATGCTTCCCGGGAACCTTCGTATTGTTTTCCGACGATGTAGGAGAACCACCTGGAGAACTGCATCCAAACGCATTGTAAATCACGGAGTTGTAAGGCATCTGCTTACGGTAGAGAGTTGAGCGACTAAGATTGACACTGTAGAAGAGATTGATGCCCAATTTCACAGCCCAGTCCCCATTCCCGTGTATTGCTTCTTCACTATCTAAAGCTGACCGGATGAGTTTCTCATCCTCTTTAGTGGCTTCCTGGAACAAAATCTCATTCCACGGATGATCACTTCCAGACTCTTTGGCTATTTTTTTCGCTTGAGCTTCTAGTTTTGGATAATCTGTACATATTTTTTAAAGAGTGTAAGATATGTGCCTTCAAAAATAAAAAATCAAGCATTTAATAATATATCCTAAAACTTCCAGACAGTACAACTACAAATGCATGCTGACCTTCCCTTATTTTCTTCTGGGTTTGGAAAAAACATAAAGATCAGATTGTTTTAAATCTATACAAAAAAAAAAAAAACCATATATTAAGACTCCTAACCTTTCCCCTTCTCATCAGCTCATCTTGGGCGGGGTTGGGGATAGTGGATCAAAAAAGAACATAATGATCTCATCTAATACCTACCTACCGGACTGGCTATCTAATCTTATGTTCAACCCTGTTGCAAATCAAATCCGAGTTTGGTACAACATCACCACTACTCGTAATGTCACAATGCAACAGTAGGCTTTATAATACGTATATAACAGTAAATGAGCTAGAAATTGACGGTTTAATCATCGATTATAATGTAAATGTCACCTAGAAGCATCCTCGTCAATTGTCTTCTATATTTTTTCTTTTGTGGCGACAATTTATTTCACTTTTGGCATTCATATAATATAGATTTATGTTCTTGTCATCAGCCAATAAATGTTAATGAAACTTTATCAACACCCCCCTCCCTCCCCAAAAAGAAAATCTGTCTCAATATAATATTTCTAGATTTTGCAAAGAGATTATTAAGACAGAGTTGCAAAAGCAGATTGGACAAAAACAAAGTCGGGAAAAAGGTTTGCTATATATAGCAAGCAAAGCAGAGCTAAATTTGAAATCTGAGCTTACCAGGATGACAGAGAAGATAAATGTGAGCCCCACCGATCAACTGGAGTTCTTTTTCCACTTCAACAGCATGTTGGAGACAGAAAACGTGCATTCTGGAAGAATCTTCATCGCCAAAGGGGACGACGAGAGCATTCTTGACAGCTCTTTCTGGCGGCTTTTGGGCAGACGGAACACAGCTTGGCACAGCTCGTCTATCTTGCAAACCACATGACAGTATTGATGTACGATTAGCGGTTTCTGAATCAACAGAATAGTCAAAACTGGAACGATTTCCACCGGCACGTTGAGCTCGTCTCTGTCTGTGATCTGCATAAGGGTCAATAACAAGCTGGAGAGGTATCTCATCCTCAGGTGAACAAACCATAGATCTGCCTTCACTATCCTTGACAGAAACATCTGCTTCAGCCTCAGAGTCGGAAGAATCACCGTAAGTTGAAGCCAACAGACCAAGGGAAGAACTCACTTTGTGAGTTCTACTAGTGGAAACCACTCCTACACTTTCATCGCTTAATTGACTAGTAGGTTTTATGGAGACATCAAACAAACTATCCGGTGGCCTCCTTACCATCAACCCTACAAGTCAACATTACAAGTTCAAATGAATTAATATGCAGGTAGTCAGTTGAAGCAGATGAATTCATGCATCTACATATAATAATAAATAAAGAGCAAATACCAATTCTGGTCCTATGAGTATTAGCAAAATGACAGTTTTGGTCCACAGTTTAATTCCTATCAATTTTCATCCACGACTATTGTTTTAGTGTCAATTTTCATCCACAACTATTGTTTTAGTGCTAAAATTCATCACGCCAGTCACCCCTCCGGGAATCTGAAATTATTAAGGGTATTTTCATCCTTTCATAATTAAGATCCCAATTTGAGCATGAATAAAGGGATTTTAGCCATAAAATCCCAATTTGCCGTTCTCCTCCTAATCCTTCTTCTCCTTCTTATTCCTTTAAGAAGTATGAGGAAGAGAACGACGAATTGGGAACTTAGGGCTTAAATCCCTTTATTCATGTTCGAATTGGGATCCTAATTATGAAAGGACAAAAATACTCTTGTATTTTTCTCTTCCTCATACGTCAAATACTCAGATTACAATGTAAGACAAAGTTGAGTGTGACAATCAATATTGGATGGGAAAAAATTTCCATTCTTGTACCAAATTATTTGTGCAATCCAAATAAGCCAATGATAATCAAACTTGTGTTATGTGTGCTCTCCTAGAGATACCATCCATACCACACATCTTATGCAACAAGTTTCCGTTTAATTAAATCCACAACAAAAGTAATTACACACTAAGGATACCTGAAGATGAACCTAACATGGTAACATTTGTATCTGCATCCACAGCCATGGTCCCACACCCAGCTTCTCTCCATTGACTGAAACTAGCATAATCAGTTGACATCAGGCAACGAGCAGCTGCTTTTGTCGGTTGAACAATGGCAACACAATTGTAACAAAGTATACCACAAGTTACACATGAAAATAGTCCATTCTCCGATGACCTATCACAGTTATAAGCTCTTTCACTAGCTGTATTCATGTTCCCATTAGCATGAACAATGGCCGATGAAACATTAGAGTCTCTGCCCGAATTAGGAAGCCTACTACTTTCACATAATGGAGAAGATTTTCCTTTATTTGAACATACTCCTGGTATTTGTTTCATTCCCTGTTTTCTTCCTATCAATGGATTGTCAAGATCTAAATCTTTTCCAGTTTCCACCACGTCATCTGGACAGTCTACGCTGGAGAACAGCCCAGGCTTTAACTTAAACTGGGATCCTTGAAAATTTGCAGGAATAAAATTTTCAGTAGAATTCCTCGGAAGAAGTATAACTGAAGATCCTCTTCCAAGCATGTGAAGAAGAGAATTATTTTGCTCCAAATCCTGAACAAAAAAGTCCTTGACCAGTGCTTCTCCTTCATCCTTCTTCTTGTCCTTCAGCCTGGAACTCCTTGGTTCTGTTCGAATGTTCTTCGACATCCTGAAGCAGAAGATTGAAGCAACTAAGAAACATATTGCATAAGTGTATGTATTCACACCCAACTCAGATTTTCATATGGAAAACAGAAAGTATTGCCGATATCTTCTTAAAAAAAGTACTCCATATAAAATAAATCAGTCTTATTGGAACTACATAAAAATGTGGTACTCATAGTTGTCAGAATCCTTGTTAGCAGTCCTCGTTATCCAGATAAGGTCATTACTTTATGCAGTTTTATGTGCAGAATCCTAGTATGGTGTGGCATAGTATAATGGAAGCACCGAAGCAGGTAGCAAATGCAAGGAAAAGGCAAAAAATGTGAAATGCTTATTAAGCTTGCATCAAGTAGGGTTATCAAGAAGAATAGAGCAGCCACGAAATCTTTGAAAGAAAACTTTAAAAAGCTAAAAGATACTTCAAAATCCTTTAGTAATGTGAACAACAATTTTAATTAAAGAAACTTTAAAGTGAAACCAATGTTTTAAGAAGACTAATGTTCTGTCAAACTACACATATTTGGAAAGAGAGACCATTATGATCAAAGAGTAGTTTTTTTTTTTTTTTTTTTGAAACAGATCAAAGAGTAGTTTAAGATTGATGAACATGGAAAAAAATAATATTGTTGATGGAAGAGCAAAAAATAAATGGAAAGTATTGCAAAAGAAAACTCTGATGCAATCTAACTCAGACAGTGGCACGCCAAAAGGAAAATTACAAGAGAACCAGAAGCCAAGCAGCTAAAAGCATCTGATATAGGATAAAGAGATTATTGCACAAAGCAGGTCAGAATATTATGTCTCTTCTATTCTGATCAGTTTGAATAGAAATACGTAGTGCTTGTCCAGTTATAATGAAACATCCATGTTAGCGTAGTAGGTTAAATATAGAACAAGCAGCATTCTGAGATGGTGTACTAGGAGGTGACACCCTTTAGCCACTTGAGCCAGGGGTCATTGGCTCTATACGTCAATAACTACCAACGTTAAAGCATTCACGTGGTATGGCAAACAAGGGAATTTACATATAGTCAGAAAACAAACCTTGAACAGAATGAAAGTGCTAGATCATAGAGCAACTGGAAGTGTGAGACCATTGGAGGGTAATTAATTGATGCCCTACGGATTGCAGCATCTTTTGCAACCCTCAACCATCCAGGAGTAGCAATATTAGAGGCCTCCCCACAGTTAAACCCTAAGTTTTCAAATTGACATTACCAAAACATAATCAATTTACTCCCTCAAATTACTTGGTGACACCTATTGAAAAGCACAATAAAGTGATAAACTATGCAATCCATAACAAGGCAATAATCTTACCATGGCTAAACCCTGAGTGATAAGCTCTTGGAAAGGTGACAACAAATTCTCCAACATCTTGCACCAACCTGAGTACCAAATAAAGCAGGATTGTCAGAGTCTCTTGTGGTAACAATTAAAATATTATATATTAACTTCAGATGACAAAACCCGAATTACCTAGAGTGTTTCTAGAACAAGAACTCTCTTGCAAATGATAACAATCTGAATTACCTATAGCTCCTCTAGAACAAGAACTCTCTTGCAAATGATAATTCCAACAACTACATAGCTACTCTGAGGTTTTGATCTAAATGATACTACTGCTTCAAGGTTGCATCCCCATCAATGTTGTCATAGCAGATTATTCATAGTTTGAAGAAGTAGATGTCATTATATTACAGTATATGTGTGTGTATAAAACTATAAAATAAATATTAGTATGTATATGCATGTATGTATGTATACTCTGTACACTAGTATTAGTACCTTAGTTGTATAATTGACTACACTTATGCTCCATCATATCAATATAGAAACAAGATAAACAGCAGGCAAACATGGTAAAAATACACTGCACCTCAGTGAACCAAATTCAATTTTAGATTGTACCAGATCAATATTTTACCTGCAGCATGGAACACCAGCATTAAGCAGTACTTCTGGCGACATGACAGTGGTCTTCTCACCAAGGGTAGCAAAAGTAACTGGACAAAATGCATATTAAAAAAGTTAATTCAAAAAGCATATATAGAAACATAATCTAATGGTAAAATGGGCATCATTACTTAAATAACAAAAGCTCAATAATTCAACATTGCCAAAGCCAGCAATAGTAAGAAGAGTTTAAAACTTTTAATCACAAGGCAGCCAGAAAATAAAATAAAGATTGCATATGCATAGCCCTAAGCTTCATTTCCAATTCCTAATTTCCACTATGGACTTAATTGCCCGTTAAAAGTTCAACAAGTTTCATTCATGTTGGAGGTCCATACCCCCAAGCCTCACATTTGGTGGAAGATCTGAAGCGGAAAAATAAGTCATAGCAAGTAAGAGTGAAGCAATATGAACTTTGGGGAAGCCTCGGTCCAACCACAGAGACATTTACCAAAATTTCCAATAGTGGAAATAATTCTATGTCATGTCCCAATCATAAAGGAACAATATGGACTAGAAACTGAAACTGAACCCTAATCTGAAAGTATTCAAACATACAAAACATGTGCCAATTCTTCATCCAGTTCAAAACCCAAAACAAATTAAAACAACAAAAAACCATTAGTGACTTAGATTTATAGTGACGTTTAGGGGTTTAAAAATTTTAACTATCAAAAAATAACAAAAGGTTGTGTCAAAATCTAAATAGAAATCAACAATCTGCATTGACCCTAAAGGGTGAACTTTAGTTAAATTTTTAGGTTACCAGAAATCACGCTGGTACGATTAACTTGATAGCAACCACTAATCAATACATTTATACCATTGCCACCACCGACTCGCATTATTAGTATTTGGAAAATTCTACCATGTCAATCGATATGGTTACTCTTTATACAAGGTACCACCCCAAAGTGAATTGTAAAGACATTGAGTTTGTCCGGGCACAACCTCTTATAAAGTCAATGCCTTTCTAAAGCTAAGAGAAGCTAAGAGGCACGGCGCTAATCAACACCGTAGCCTTTCCCTTACTATTTATATGAAGACAGAAACTGTTTATTTTATTACTTCCTATTCCATTTTACCTATTATGCCTACTATTTGTTGGTAAACCCAACTATTCTTTCTTTGTTTATATTCTTCAACATTTTTTAATAATTTTTAAATTCGTCTTTTTAATTTAATAGTACTTTTTATAGTTTCTAAATATATAAATTTTATTTACTAACACTAAACTAAATATTAAAAAAAATTAAATTATAACTTGTGTCAAATACTCAACGAGACAAGACATAAATTTGGACAGAGGGAGTATTAAAAAGCAACTAAATTTGAATATATTTTCTAGTTTTCCCATGGAAAATGATAACTTTAGAAAACTATAAATAGAGGATGGACAACATATTTTGTAACTAAACAAGCCCACAAGCTTTTGCATGCTCCCTTTTTGCTTAAAATATTTGTTCAAACCAAAATTTCCATCTAACACAGACCTAAACTTTGTTAAAAAAAAAAAAATTTTGATATCACTAGCTAGCACCTAACTCAGCATCATCTGAATGAACACAGAGAAGTGGAATGCTCCCTATTAAACCAACAAAGTTGTATAACAATGCAGGCAGGCAAGCATATTCTACCACTTGAGAGGGTATAGTTTGTTCTGTATTAGTAAAAAAAAAAAAAAAAAAAAAAGGCAGGGGAAAGTGTTGACTACTGTGGACTATGCAAAGAAAAACAGGGGGGAGGGGGGAAGAAGTTAGTTAGTTAACAATTAACAATTTAACATAGCTTTTGGAAAGAAAGAAAGAAACATGAAAGACTGAAGCTTTTGGAAAGCTCACCAAGAGGATTGATCTCTCCTCCATAGCCCTGAAGGCGAATGACCTCCTCAAATGCAACGGCAGCATCTCGGGGAACACCATACCAGGTCTTCCCTGCACCCATATGGAGGTAATTCAAGCTATGCAAGTCATGATCCTCAACATGCCAAGCAAACCAACTGAACATCATAGCAATGTAGACCATAGGCGAAGTAACGCCGGGTATCTCTTCCTTCATAAATTTGAGGAGAGAGCCTTTGGCCCTGGATACCCCTCTCATATTCCACTCTGTCTCCGCCACAGTGGCCGCCCCTTCCCCAACAGAATCCGCTTTCTTCGGCGCAAAAGCCGACCCGGGAATATCGTTGGCGTATTCCACGGAGAACGGCTTGTCCACCGTGGCCTTCCAGTAGAGCGACTCGACCTCCAGAGGCGACACCCCCTTCTTGAAGCTCTTTTTTAAGTAATTCTTCTCGAACCCTTTGGCTTTGGCCTCGAATTGCTGGAGCGTATAGTTCTCCCCGCTCTGCCACACCGGTTTCTGCACCGGGCGGTGGCGCCTGGGGCAGAACCCGATCTGCTGCTGCCGGGTAGTGAATGTGGGGCCCGTGGAGCGAGGCCGCGCCGCCAGCGACTTGTTGAGGTTAGCAATGGCGGTTTTCTTCGGCGGCATCCCCACTGGGGGCACGATTTTGCAGATTCCATACTTGGAAGCTTCGCCCTCGATCTTGAAAATGTAGGCAATGGGATCTTGGAACTCCTCTAGGGTTGGGTGGTACTCTGGAGCCACTGGTAGGGTTTTCAGCCAAGAGAGAACCTCCACCCCACTGCTACCCTCGCCCATTAGGTCAAACAGCTCACATACGCATACACATATAAATATATGTATATATTCCTGTATGTATTTTCAGAGATCTGAAAAGGGTCACCGTCACTGCTAGATAAGCATAGCTTTAGAGAGAGAGTGAGTTAGAGAGAGAGATGGGCTATAGAGATTCTTGCTCTACTCTACTCTAATCAATCATTTTCCTTTCTATAGGAAATTCAAAGCCAAGATGATAAAGTTTATGCGAAATTATATAAATATTTATATATATTGATAGATAGATAGATACAAAGATACATATATATGTATATTGCTCTGTTTTGTTGTTTGTGCCCAAAAAAAAACAGAGGAGAGAAAGGGGCAGAGCAGAGGTTGTGAGGTAAGATGTGTGAGTGGAACATGTGAGTGGGGTTTTATTTGGGTTTGTAGCAGAGATTAAACAATATGAAAATGACTCTGCTTTTTTTTGCTTAATCCATTGTTTTGCCGTTCATGGTAAAATTAAATACAAATTCACCTTTTCAAATTTATTTGATTATATATATATATATATATATATATATATATATATATATATATATATATATATATATATATATTCGATTATAACAGTTTTTTTTTTGTTTAAACAGTAAACCACAAGGTGCTCTGAGAGACACTATCTGGATTATCCGAGAAATCGTCCTTACAAAGAAGTTCAATTGTCACTTGAGCCACCCATTTGTATCATAGCAGTTTACCATTTGAATATTTTGTAAAAGTCATTTAGTTAGCAAAAATAATGGGATAGGTAATAACTATACGGGTTTTTCTTGTAAATTTGGTGTCGGATAGAGACTAGGTATAGTGGTTTAGACAATATGAATGTTTTTTTATGCTATGAGGAGTTTCGGCGCAAAAGGCTACTTTTTCTAGGGTCTTCTCTGATATACCACAAAAGTAAAGAGAGATATAGGTAAGGGTTTAGTAGAGTAGTGATATATGTATGATTCAATTAGAACTTTTTTCAAATAGAGCATAAGTTGTAAGAGCATCCTCATTAATTTGAGAATTTTTTTTTTTTTTTTTTTTTTTTTTTTTTTTTGAGATGCTAGGCAGATAGTGGGTTACGGGAAAAGAAAAAATAGAAAATATGAAAAATTAAAATTAAAAAAAAAAAAAAGTGTTTTGCGATGCTTGCAAGTTTTGTAAGCATTGCAAAACTAACAAATATAGCACGGAAGAGAGAAATGTTATGCAATAGTTCAATTTGACTTTTTAAATTTAGTTAAAATGTTATTGTTATTATCTATTTATTTTATAATTAAAGAGAGCTTTGTAAACCCATATGGATTGAAAAATGAGCAGTTGAGAAATTTTTAAAATTATTTAGGGAAAATGGTCAAATAGACCCTCGAACTTTAAGCTTAAAAGTCAATTAGGTCCCTAAACTTTTTAAAGGTGCAATTACACCCATCAACAATTCATTTAGGTGCAATGAAGCTCAAAAACAAGTTAATGACCTGCTATCACAGATCATTAAGGTTCAGGCCACCTTCCGGCGAATTTTTCGATAAAAAAAATGTGACCAGCAATCGACCCAGATTTTCCAAAAATTTCGCCGGTCACTTCTTTTGTCGAAAATTTCGCCGGTCACTTTTTTTTTTTTTTTTTTTTTTTTGTCGAAAAATTCGCCGGAATGTGGCATGAATCCTAATGACCTGTGGTAGCATAGCTAAATTCTTTTTAGCTTAATAATTATATCCCTAAATTCTTTTTAGCTTAATTTTTTTTAAATAATAATAATAAATCATTAAAACATTCTAATTGAAATATTTTAAATGACCCTCAAAAAAAATTATTTAACTTACAATTACATTAAATCATATTTGTATGTTTATAAAGTTACTACGGTTCATTATTGTAGATTCGTTAGGTCACTTCAAATCTATAACATTTCCCACCATCTAATTTACAAAGTATATTTCCCTAAATTGTGCATATTTCATTCACACGGTGGGGTTTATTCAAATTAGCCAACATAAATGCTTCTAACAATCATTGTCATTAAGATTATTAAAAAAAAAAAAAAAAAGGAATAAGCTATTTAAAAAAATATTATAGTTAAAACTATCTTTTTACTAAAAATTCATCTAATCAAGAAGAAAAACGTATACATGTTCACATTCATTATATTATTTATTTAATCATATATAATATTTTGAATGTGACTTAAAATTATAGGGATGTAGAAAAAATAGTGAGTGAATTGTAAATATGAAATATACTTATAAACAAACAAACAAACATGTGTGTGTGTGTGGTGAAAGGTTCCCGTGCGGATGAATGCTTCCCGTGCGGATGTGCAGTAAATTATTGTGCGTGAGATTTGTACTCAATGTGCATAAGTGTTGTGCGTAATGTGGTTATTTCTCTTAAAAAGGGAAAATGAAAAACAATCGGTAGTATCAAGAATTTATAAGGAAGATTGTGCGAAAATAATAGAACCAAATTGAATGTTAATAATTAATTGCCCAAATTTAATAATAATAAGCTTATTAAAACAATCAGTAATCTATATTATATATACAAACAAAATCCTCCATTTTAACTTTTCGGACTCATACACTATTAAGGTTTGCGTAATATTCTAAAATATATGGTAATACAAATCCTATTCGTACTACAATTATACATTAAAATATGTTAATACAATTCCTAATACAATATATTCTTTCCTACTTTCCTATGCCTACTATAATTCTAGATTAAATTTTATATCAATTTACCTTATGTAAGATATCGTATGACATCTATATATTATTTCCCGTTCTGTTTTTCTTATTTTTTTTATTTATCTTTTTTAATGCCTAATAATTACCACAAATAATTATTAATAATTATAAATTTATATTAAGCAATTATATTAATAATTAATTATTAAAGCAAGTATAATTTATTTTATACTGTAGACGCATTATTTTTAATAATTTTGATTTAAACTATTTAAGTTTCTATGTTTTACATATACAAAGTTATAATTGTAATACTTTCAAATAATACTGAATAAATATTAACCATATGTTTAGATTTAATTATATATTATATTAAAATAATTATATATTAATCTAATATAGTGATGGTTAATACGGGTAACCATATATAAGCATAATCTAATATAGGAAAATATTCATTACTAATCATATATAACTTAGGAAATAACTAAACTTATTGAAACTTAATTATTTATAATTTCACCTTTAATATAAATATATAATTTTAATATCCAAAATTAATAAAAAAAATTCTTAATGTAGATCTATATTTTTAAAATAATTTCAATTTAATAATATTATAAATCAATTATAAAAATAATATCTAATATATATATATATATATATATATATATATATATATATATTATTCTATATTTCTTTCAAAAAAAAAAATATTCTATTGGTAATACTGTGTACAAAATATATTAATTAGGTAATAGCAGAATTGGTAATAATGTGTATGGTATTTTATAATTTAATTGCTAATATAATTAATTGGTAATAAACATATTCAGTAAAACGAATAAGCATATAGATTTTATATTTAAAATTTTAAATTTCTTTCGTTTGTTTAAATTGAAAGATTTAATGGCTTTACATTCCTTTGAATATTCATTTGTTTTATTCGTTTATCCACACCATGTTCATAGGTGAAATTATACTATTATAGTATTTAAAAGAATATTACAAAAATAATTATTAACTGAGAATAAAAATGGCAAAGAATTTAGGCCTATTGAAATAGGAAATAAGATGGAAAATGTTTTGCAATACGAGATGGAAATATAAGATTTTTCCGAGATGGAAATAATATTAATCGATATGGAAATTAATAATTTTTACACCAAATGTTATTTTATACTAAGAATATAAGGATTGTGTAATTATAAAGTTTAGCCGAGTATGTCAAAAAGAAATAAGGTTTAGTCGAGATGAAAAAAATATTAATCTCGGTTATATATTTTATAAAATGTAAGTTATTGGAAATATTAAAAAGAAATGTATATATATGTTACTGGAAATATAGTTATGTAAAGATATATATTTACAAATGGAAAATTGAATAAAATTGTTTAGTATCCACAATTTATAAGAAAAATTTTGTAATTAAAGATGTTAATATAATGTTCTTGCAATACGTATGAATGATTCGAAAGAAATTAATTATGACTGATTTTGTAGCACATCTTTATCCAAAATTATGGGACCTCATTGCAATACGTATATATAAAGATGTGTAATTATGTATAGAATGTGTAAGGAAGACTTTGCTTAATGATGGAAAACAAATTAGACCAATTAGAAAATGTAATGAATATTAATAATTCACTCAAAATTAAATATGATCCATAGATATAATTCACTAAAAGGAATAAGGTTCAAATTGGCCACTGAACGTAACGTGAAAATGCAATTAGACCACTGAACAAAAAAAAAAAGTGCAATTAGACCACTGAACACTCCGAAAACGTGCAATTAGGCCACTGAACACTCCAAATGTATGCAATTTTACCGGATAGCAGGTTACCATCAATTTTAGCAGGTTACCTACTTACGTGGCAGCTGAGTTGACATTTTTAATAATTTTCAATAAATTTTAATAATAAATTTTTTTAAAAATTAAAAAAATAAAAATAATAAAAATAAACCCTGTCGTTTTTTTAAATTATTATTAAAATTTATTAAAAAGTATTTAAAATTATTAAAAAATGTCAACTCAGCTGCCATGTAAGCAAGTAACCTGCTAAAATTGATGGTAATCTGCTATCAGGTGAAATTGCATACATTTGGAGTGTTCAGTGGCCTAATTGTACTTTTTGTTGTTCAGTGGCCTAATTGTATTTTCAGGTTACGTTTAGTGGCCAATTTGAACCTTATTCCATATTTAAAATATCTAAAATTTCAGCACTAGATGCGTACATCTACACATTGACTATTAATTGGGCAATTATTTGATCGAATTCAAGCAATGATAACATTAGAAAATACAATCGATCCAACTCAATTCATCAATTGCATTATATAATATTCGATGTAATAATTTATATAAGTATATATCGATCTAAATATTCTTAAAATATTTTAACAAATTCATTCCGTGCATCGCACGGGCGCAAATACTAGTATACTTATTGACAGGATAATAGGGCTGGCACCCGACCCGGATCACAAATGGGCATCTGACTCAGCATCACATGGGAACCCAACTGGCAAAACTCCAACGGGCAGAATTCCAACGGCTGTCACCTTTACTACCATTGAAGCCACCATTGATGTCACCATTGATGAGAGAGAATTAAAGGCTTAACTCCCCATTTATGCTTCATGTTGTTACCATTAGCAACTTT